CAATCTTTAAGATAATATATATTTTTTGAGTTTAAGTCTTTATGCATGTAACAAATATTTTTTATACAATTAAATTACTCAAATATAATTGCAATAGCTTTATACAGTAGAATTGGTAACCTAAAATAAATACTCCTACTAGTTAGTAACCTATTATGGTAAGTAACATTATATGCAGAAATGTAATAATTTTTTTATACTTGATAATATAATTTTTTTTATACTCGGATAAATACTTACCTTTTATATTTTTAACTGAACAATAAAATTAAGGTCATTTTAACGTAAAAGGCTTATTCACATTTTTTATAAGTTTCAATACTTTTATTATATAAAATTAATTTTAATAATTAATAATATTTTATAATATTTAATACTTATCAATTACTCTTAAGTGAACTCGCAATTTTGGACATTAAATACCGCATTGATCTAAAACAAAAAATTGTTTCTATTTATAGGGAGAAAAAAGAAAAAGAAAAAAACAGTTGGAGTGGAGACTTTGGGGAGTCGGATGTCATGTTAGGAGCATAAATTTTGTAGGGATGCTTATCCAATCACACTAGCCCTTACATCTTTTTCTTCTTTTATTCAGTCACTCTATCCAGTTATTATTTGGTGAGTCAGCAAAGATCTTTCCTTATCAATTTCTTTTTTTAAAATAATGTCAGATCTGCTTATCCATTCATCAATGAGGAAGATGTCGGGGTAGTTGCTGCCTCACTAATCCATAACACAATATTCTCTTTTTTTTAAAGAAAATAAAATAATCTTATACAAATCATAATATTAGTCAAATATAGACAATTTACCTATGATGATCCGAATCATAATATTAGTCGAATATTGTATACGGTCAAAACCGAATTTTGCCCTTCGTATGATTAATCGAAATTGGAACATGATGATTCAAGGTTCATTATTGTAATATCGAGCCATGGTACAAAGAATATGCTGTCGAGCTCGAGACCCAGAGACCGATCAAGATCGAAATCGACCAAGATCAAGATCGGCCAGGATCAAGATCGAGCCAAGAAACAAAGAGCCGTTACAGTCGCAATTAGGGGGAGAATCTCGGCGGAAATCACGACACGTATCAAGAAGAGGCCGATTAATTAGCCCATCATGAGAGTCCTTACTATATATAGAATTGTGTCATGAGTAGCTCCCCTACTATATAAAGGGGGTATGATCATTTGTAAAAGGGACCTCAGACAGTAAAAAAGCAATAGAATACTCTTTTCTCAAGGTTCTTAATACTCTGTTACTTCGCTTATATTTCTTTTGTTATTTCATTTGGTTTGAGGGCCCAAGCTACATATCTCATTTGGTTTACTTTTATTTTTCTTTACAATCAATTTCAATATCAGTTCGCATATTTTCTCAGTTTATGCTAAGTAAAATCACGTGTCCTTAAAATCACATATAAATTTAATTGTTATCTTCTTTTAGGGTAAACAATTTGGCGCCTACCGTGGGGCTAAGGACAATAGTGATTGCCTGGTGCTAATTTTAATAACACACACTTCTTTACACTTGTTCTTGTAAGTATTTTTTATTCCAGGATCAGCATGTCGAACTCTCAAGCAGTACCCACACACATCGATAACGGCCTTGGTTTTCATGGCCAAAACGACAACGTAGCCGCCCCAGGAAACGAAGTGCTTCCAGTTGACCCCAAGGGAGTACCAGTTGCAGACCCCATCGACGTCAGTTCCCATGTTGCCCTGAATGCAAATCTGGACGTCGACCCTGAAAACAATGTCCGCAGAAGCGTTCGATCAACCAGTCAGAACTCACAGGGTGGCGAAGAAGGCGGAATCAGCCTTCGAATAATATTCGAAATGCTGCATGCTCAACAAGCTGCAATAACACAACTTCAAAATCAGAACCACGCGCCGAGTAGGGTCGAACCCGAGCCATTACAGAAAATTATTCACAGGGCTGAACCAGCATTGGAGAGGTCAAATAGGAATGAGTCAGGAACCGACCCCGCTATCTTGAAAATATTCGAGGAGCTGACAAAGCGAATCAAATCGGGGGAGAAGAAGATTGAAGCGAATGACAAAAAAATGGAAACATATAACTCCCGAGTTGATAGAATTCCGGGAGCACCGCCGATTTTGAAGGATTTGGATTCAAAGAAGTTCGTACAAAAGCCCTTCCCCCCGAGCGCAACTCCTAAGCTCATTCCGAAAAATTTCCGCATGCCAGAAATTCTCAAGTATAATGGAACTACCGACCCCAACGAGCATGTCACTTCTTACACATGCGCAATAAAGGGGAATGACCTAGATGACGATGAGATTGAGTCCGTACTGCTGAAGAAATTCAAAGAAACTTTATCAAAGGGGCGATGATATGGTACCATAATTTACCACCTAACTCCATGTATTCTTTTGTCATGCTCGCATATTCCTTCGTCAAAGCGCACGCCGGAGCGATAAAGGTCGAGACTAGAAAATCGGACCTCTTCAAAGTAAAATAGAAAGACAACGAGATGCTCAGAGAGTTCGTATCTAGGTTCCAAATGGAGCGCATGGATCTGTCCCAAGTCACCGACGATTGGGCCATTCAGGCATTCAATCAAGGCCTAAACATACAAAGTTCGGTAGGCTCACAACAGTTGAAGCAAAACTTGATCGAATATCCAGCCGTAACCTGGGCCGACGTGCATAATCGGTACCAGTCAAACATTAGTTTCGAGGATGACCATTTGGGGACTCCTTCTGGGTCTATTTATCCAAACAGGACCATCGACAGAGCTAAAAGGGATATTGACCGGGAACCACGGTCAAACACAGATTGATATCAACCATACGGTAAAGATCGAAGAAACAACGGGCCTGGACTTAACCCCGGTCGAACTGATAGAAGAAATAATCGAGGACAGAGCTCTCGAGGGCTCATGAGTAAAAGAGGTTTCGATAGAAATGTCGAACCCAAAGAAGCACCAGGACTATCGGAATACAACTTCAACATTGATGCATCAGCTATTGTATCGGCCATTAAGCGCATCAAAGATACCAAGTGGCCCCGACCTCTACAGACTGATCCAACCCAGAGAAATCCTAATCAAATGTGAAAATATCATGGCACCCATGGTCATAGAACAAAATATTGCAGACAGCTGAGGGAGGAGGTAGCCTGTTTGTTCAACGAAGGGCATCTTTGAGAATTCTTAAGCGATCGGGCTAAAAACCATTTCAAGAACATAGATTCAAATAGACAGAATGCGCAAGAAGAGTCACAACACGTGATCCACATGATTGTTGGAGGGGTCGATATTCCTCAGGGGCCCGTATTCAAACGCACCAAGGTGTCGATCACGATGGAAAAGTGGACTCGAGATTATGTACTGGAGGGGACCTTATCTTTCAGTGACTAGTATGCATAGGGGATCTTACAACCCCACAATGACGCACTGGTAATATATGTACTTATGAATAAAATTCAAGTTAAACGTGTTTTGATTGATCCAGGTAGCTCGGCCAATATTATTCGGTCGAGGGTTATAGAACAGCTCGGCCTACAAGATCAAATTATGCCCGCAACCCGAGTACTTAACGGCTTCATCACGACGAGCAAAACCACTAAGGGTGAAATTACTTTGCCAATGAACATGGCCAGGACGATCCAAGAAACAAAGTTCCATGTGATCGATGGTGGCATAAGTTATAACGCCCTGCTCGGAAGGCCTTGGATCCAGTGCCCTTGACCCTTCACCAAGTTCTGAAGTTCCTGACGTCGGAAGGAGTCAAAAATAGTTTAGGGGGAGCAAGCCGCCGCCAAGGAAATGTTTTCAGATGATGAAGTGATACCAGTATCAGCACTCTCATCAACGAAAGGATCGAAGGAAAACAGGAGGCCAAATAGCAACCACATATACCAGCCTCGACCCAATTACAGGAGCAAGGGATCGACGAAGATGATGACTACTGGATCCCTCGATTCTTCGTAGTTCCCGATGACTCCGATCCCACCAAGTCAACGGTCGAAGAACTGGAACAAATCACACTGGCCAAGCATCAACCCGAACAAAAGGTATACCTGGGCACGGGGCTAACCCCTGAGCTCAGGTAAAAACTTATTCATTTACTTAAAGCTAACACGGATTGATTTGCTTGGTCCCATCTCGTTATGACAGGGATTCCACCTGAAATTATCACTCACAAACTAAGCCTGGACCCTAAATTCCGCTTGGTAAAGCAAAAAAGAAGGCCACAATCCAAGGTCAAACATGCCTTCATCAAGGACGAGGTAACCAAACTTCTCAAAATAGGATCCATTCGGGAAGTAAAGTACCCTGAATGGTTAGCAAACGTAGTGGTAGTCCCTAAGAAGGGAAACAAACTTAGAATGTGTATAGATTATAAAGACCTGAATAAAGCATGTCCCAAGGATTCTTTTCCTTTGTCAAATATCGATCGTATGATCGATGCCACGGTCGGACACGAGATTCTCAGTTTTCTCGATGCCTACTCCGAGTACAACCAGATATAGATGAACCTGGAGGATCAGGAAAAGACCTCGTTTATCACTAAGTACGGTACCTACTGTTATAATGAAATGCCATTCGGTCTAAAAAATATTGGTGCAACTTATCAACGCCTAGTAAACCAAATGTTCGAAGAACAAATAGGAAAATCAATGGAAGTTTATATTGATGACATGTTAATTAAGTCCCTGCAAGCAGAGGACCATTTAAAGCATTTGCAGGAAACTTTAGATATATTAAGGAAGTACAATATGAAGCTCAACCCTGAAAAGTGTGCATTCGGAGTTGGCTCAAGCAAGTTTCTTGGTTTCATGGTGTCCAACCGGCGAATCGACATCAACCCCGATAAAATCAAAGCTATTGATGATATAACGATAGTGGATAATATAAAGGTCGTGCAGAGGCTGACGGGGTAGATAGCCGCCCTAGGACAATTCATTTCGAGATCCTCATATAAGAGCCACCGATTCTTCTCATTTCTTAATAAGAAGAGCAATTTTGCATGGGCTCTGGAATGCTAACAGGCCTTAGAGGAACTAAAGCAGTATTTATCGAGCCCGCCACTACTTCACACCCCGAAAGCGGACGAACAACTTTACCTGTACTTGGCAGTCTCGGAGATAGCGGTAAGTGGAGTCCTGGTCCGAGAAGAACAAGGTATGTAATTCCCTGTCTATTATGTTAGTCGAACCTTGGGTGAGGCCGAAACTAGATATCCACACTTAGAAAAATTAGCGCTTTCTTTAATAAGCGCCTCTAGGAAACTAAAACCGTATTTCCAATGTCATCCAATATGTGTTATAACAACTTATCCTCTTTGAAATGTTTTGCATACACCCGAGCTTTCGGGTCGATTGGCCAAATAGGCCGTAGAAATCAGCGGGTACGATATTGAGTATCGACCCCGAACAGCCATCAAGTCTCAAATCTTGGCAAACTTCGTGGTTAACTTTACGCCGGCCCTCGTACCCGAGGTTAAAAAAGAACTACTGATAAAATCAGGTACATCTTCGGGAGTGTGGACCCTCTTTACGGATGATGCTTCAAACACGAAGGGGTCCGGACTAGGCATCGTGCTAAAATCACCCATAGGTAATGTAGTAAGACAGTCTATCATAACTCCAAAATTGACTAACAATGAGGTCGAGTATGAGGCCATGATTGTAGGTCTCGAACTAGCTAAAAGCTTGGGAGCAGAGGTCATAGAAGCTAAGTGTGATTCCCTCCTCATGGTAAACCAAGTTAACGGGACTTTTGAAGTCCGAGAAGACTGAATGCAGAGGTACCTGGATAAACTACAGGTGACTCTGCATAGATTTAAGGAATGGACCTTGCAACATGTACCTCGAGAGCAGAACAACAAGGCCGACCCTTTTGTAAACTTAGGTTTGTCGATCGAGGACGACGAACTCAACTCGGGGACTGTCGTACAAATCATGAGATCGGTAATCGAAGAAGGGCACGCCAAGATAAACTACATGAGTTTAACCTGGGATTGGAGAAACAAGTATATAGAGTACTTAAAGAACGGAAAACTTCCATCGGATCCAAAGGAATTGAGAACTTTGTGCACAAAGGCAGTACTGTTCACTTTGTTCGAAGACGGAACACTGTTTAGAAGGACATTCGATGGATAATTGGAAATATATTTAGGACCAGGAGATACAAAGGAATCGAGAACTCTGTGCACAAAGGCAGCACGGTTCACTTTGTCTGAAGACAGAACGTTGTTTAGAAGGACGTTCGATGGACAATTGGCAATATGTTTAGGACCAGGAGATACAAACTACATCCTACGAGAAATTCACAAGGGCCCTTGTGGAAATCATTCTGGTGCCGAATCGCTGGTCCAAAAAGTAATTAGAGCAGGGTATTATTGGACCGATATGGAGAAGTATGCAAGGGAGTTTGTTCGAAAATGCGACAAATGCCAAAGGCATGCGCCCAAGATTCATTAACCCAGGGAACTACTCCACTCAGTCCTCTTCCCATGGCCCTTCATGAAATGGGGAATGGACATCGTTGGCCCTCTCCCGTCGGCCCAAGGTAAAGTTTAATTTATTTTATTTATGACTGATTATTTCTATAAATGGGTTGAAGCACAGGCTTTTGAGAAAGTCAGAGAAAAAGAAGTCATAGAATTCATTTGGGACCACATCATATGTCGATTCAGGATGCCCTCCGAGATTGTATGTGATAATGGAAAACAAATCATCGGCAGCAAAGTAACTAAATTTCTTGAGGATCACAATATCAAAAGGATCCTATCAACACCTTATCATCCTAGCGGTAACGGACAAGCCGAATCGACAAACAAAACCATCATCCAAAATCTTAAGAAGAGATTGACCAACGCCAAAGGAAAATGGAGAGAAATACTACCCGAGGTTCTATGGGCATACCGCACAATATCGAAATCCAGTATCGGAGCAACACCGTTCTCGTTAGTTTACGGTGCCGAAGCTCTGATCCCGGCCGAGGTCAGAGAACCTAGCATCAGGTTTTGATATGCAACGGAAGAGTCAAATAATGAAGCCATGCATACGAGATTAGAATTGTTGGACGAAAGACGCGAAGCCGCTCTCGTCCGATTGGCCGCCCAAAAATAGCGGATCGAAAGATACTACAATCGAAGATCCAATCTTCGACATTTTAACATCGGGGATTTGGTGCTAAGAAAAGTCACCTTCAACACCCGAAATCCGAATGAAGGTAAACTGGGTCCGAACTGGGAAGAATCGTACTAGGTTTTGGAAATCTTCGAAAAACGATCCTACAAGCTCGGCACGATAAATGGCGAACAACTGCCGAACAATTGGAACGTATCGCACCTAAAACGATACTACTGCTAAGGTACAACCCTTTCCGTATTCATTTATATTTTAAAACCAACCCTTACAGGTGTTCGACCACGAACAATGAGGGATTCTTCGACACGAAGCCTTTAGGTCTAAAAGCACGTGTTGCACTCTTTTTTCCTTAGACCGATTTTGTCCCAAATGGGTTTTCCGGCGAGGTTTTTAATGAGGCAACCATTAATCGTGCTAACTTAGAACAATTCAACAGTATCCGAGGTTTCTTTATAATCAACCTCGAACACTGGGGGTCATCGCCCTCGAATGTCAACTTTGATACGAGAAAGTTATTTTACGGTAGCAGGGTCTCGATAGAAAAAAAATGTAAGGGCCAAATGGTCAAACGAATAGTGCCCGCATAGTTTGCTCGAGCCCTGGCACAAAACATGTACGCATGTATAATCATTTATTAAGAGAAGTATTTTCCGTTATAATTCCATACTCTCGACCTATTATATAAACAGGCTTAAGGGCCGACTATAACCAGAGTTCAGATAATTACCCCACCGCTCGGGGACTGCCGTCCGAAAAATTAAGAAGTTTGAATTATATAAACTCCGAAGATCATAAGACCTCTTAGGCAACCATCGATTTTATAGGACACGACCACCCCACTCGGGGACTGACACTTCGGGCAAGCTCGAAGTAAAACGGGAAAATAAGCCCAAGAGGCAAATCCCAAAAAAGAGTCTACGGCCGAATTAACATGGATCGGAGACGTCCGAATTTCATAACAAAATAGGCCTTCGAAATCTTTCATGAACCAGTTAAAAAGGCTACCCCCGGCAAAATCATAAAAGGCTTTGATAAATACCAAAGCCTCAAAAATTATAATGAGTACAAAATTGTTCGAACTCTCGAACAATTCCTTATTTCATGCCAAGGCATTACAAGTCTCGCAAATACAAATGATAAGAAACTCTTTCAAGCCGAAAAGGGGACAAAGCCTTAAACAATCCTTTTACAAAAGCCTAAGGTCTGTCTTTTGTCTCGAGTTCGAGAGACCGTCCTTACTCAGATAAAAAACATGAGGGTTACCTTACTTCGAATTCGAGCAAGCACTCACTCGACCATAATGTCTAAGGGCTATACTAATTCAGTTCCAATCAAATTGTTTAAACCTCGGATCTTAGAATACAACTTCATAATTTTATAAGGCAGAAAGGAAGAAAGTTTTATATATATGTGTCAAAAATTATTTACAAGGGCAGCATGGCCCGATCAAGTTTTTCTACAAAAGATCGAAACGGTCTTAAATGAAACACAAATAATACTAAAGGACTTAGTCCTCTCTGGGAGCAGTATATTTTCCCTCAAGGCCTCCTTCGCCTTCAGATCCGCTCATACTCCCGGTATTATCATCATCAGAAAAGGCCAACACTCTGGCTTCGGCTTCAAGCTTCTTAGCATTCTCGATCTCGGCTATAAGATCGAAGCCACGAGCATGGATCTCCTCAAGAGTCTCCCTCCGAGAATGACATTTAGCATACTCAGCAACCCAGTTTGCTTGAGCCTGAGCAGCCTCGACAACCTCCTTTGCTCGAACCTGAGCATCTTCATCATCGTACCGGTAGACTACCACCATTGCATCAGCATTAACCGTGTCTATTTCGACCTCCGATTTGGCCTCTGCAAGTTCTGTGGACAGTCTCTCTTGATCAGAAGTTTCTGAGCCCAACCGAGATTGGAACTCTTCGATTTTCTTGGCTTGCACCAAGGCTTTCTCTTTCAAGACTCGGAGTTGGGTCTCAGCCGAGGCTAGTTGAGCCCGGGCAGCCACCTTTTCTGAGGCAAGGCGGTCCATGTTCTTTTTCCACTCCTCGACCTCCGCTTTCACCGCGTCCACTTCAACACGAAGCTGCCTGATCACATCAAGCTTTTACTGGACCTGTGGGACCAAACTGTTAGCCATCACGCCCGAGTCAGTGTCATTAACTTCAAAAATTCTTTTTACCTGCTCGGACAAATCGGCTTGTTCTCTCTGAGCTACTTCTAGCTCAGCCCGAAGTTCTTCTACTTCTACTTCTCTCTGCTCACTGAGAAGCTTGAAGGCATCTCTCTCCTCAGTAAGCGCTCGGATTTCGGCTTCGTACCGGCTCATCTCCTCTCGGGATCGGAGAAACACCTCGTGATGAAGCACAAAGGCCTACAAAAATAGAAAGAATGAATTATACAAGGAAAGAAAAATACAAGTATGAAAATTGACAAAGAGAAAATGAACTTACCCGATTCAGGGCCTGTTGAGTTTCGTTGAAAAGACAAGAAACTCCCGCCTCGCCCGAGCTCTTCTTCGGAGCCACCAAGTCACTCAAACCGGTGACATCTTCTACCCCGACAAAACAACCACGGAAAGGATCTTCCTCTTCGTGGGCCCCCTCCCCGTGACAAGTCTCCACGTCTTGAGCATCACGTATCATCCACTGGGAAAATGAAGGAAACGAGGGGGAATCCCCGATCTCTATTACCCCAAGTAGGTTTTTTAGGGTACTGCCTCCCTCTCGACGAGCTTCAAGCCCAGTTTCTGTATCGGCATCCATCGCCTCTTCAATGCTCTCTTCACCCCGAGGTAAAGTATCTTCGGTTCCCCTCGGCTCGGGAACTTGGGCCAGAGTCTCCTCTTCGACCTCGTTGAGCCTAGACGGAGAAGTATCGACTCCCACCAGTTCCGAAGTCTTCTGAATATCAGTGTTAGCTCGTGCACGGGCCACCAGACCTTCTTCTTCTTCTTCTTCTTCTTTTTCATCCCTTAGTCTTTGGACCGACTCCATAGTCAGTGGGATTTTGTTTCCCTTGGGTTTACGGGCCGCTCTTTTCTTGGGTTTTTGACCCTCGGAGTCCGAGGCCCTTTTTCTTTTAATCACCTTCGCCAGTTTCGAGATAGGCAGTAAAGCTTCTTTATCACCAGACGGGGGTCTCATAGCCGCATCCTTTCCGAGACCTACAAAAGGAGAAAGTAAGTAAATTCATGCTTGAGAAAATGCTCGAACGATAGGCAAATTGGTAATCCAAGAAGAAGGCCTACCATGAGTACGAGCCTCCCACCAGCCCTTTGACAAATTGCGCCACGCGCGCTCGGCGTATGTTGATATCGAAACCAGGCTCCTCACCTAGTTCTCGAGATAGGGAACCACACCCGACATCCAAGTAATGGCTGCATCAAGAAAAATGCTGATGAGAAAGGATGAAGAAGTAAAAAATGCAAACGAAAATTAAAAATGGGATCATACTTACGTTTCATATTCTATTTCTCAAGAAATGACATGCTCTCGGCCAGGATTAGGTTCGAAGTCTTCACCCGAACAAACCGGCCCATCCAGCCCCGATCTTTGTCTTCATCTATACTCGAGATGAACGCATTGGTGGCCCGGTGTTGAAGCTTTATCAACCTACCTCGATAGATTTGAGGCCTGTATAATCTTACGAGGTGGTCGAGGGTGAAATGGAGCCTATCGATTTTACTCACGAAGAAACGGAGCAATATCACGATCCTCCAGAAAGAAGGGTGAATTTGGCCGAGGATCACCTGGTATTTCTTCTAGAAATTGATGATGATTGGATCGAGGGGACCCAACATGAAAGGATAAGTGTAAACACTCAGATACCCTTCCACGTGGGTAGTGATCGCTTCCTCCGGTGCCAGTATCACAACTTATTTGTTTTTCCAGTTGCAATCTTTCTTCACCATATCAAGAAGACTTTTGGGTATCGAGCATATATATCTCGAAATCGGCTTGCATAGACCAGCAACCGATGATGATTTCTTGACCTTAAAATCAGAATCAGTAACACACACCCCTGGAATAAGTTCCTCAAGGCATGGCTCCACCACTGGTTTCTCGTCGGGCGGCCGAGATGAGGAAGCAGCCTCTTTCTACGGAACAGTTTTAGATATTTTTGCCATTTAGTTTTTGTGAATGAAGGAGAATGGAGATTGAAGTATTTGGTATTTTAAGAAGAACAAGCAACGAAATTTGAAAACCTTGAAATAGGGAGCTTTGGAGAAGGCGAAAAACTATGAAGATAGGAATGGAAAAGTTTCGAAAATAAAAGTTTGGGATGATTAAGAAAGGAGATATTTATTGGTTTTACAATGACGGTTCAAAACTGGTAATGGCCGACCATTAGCTGACATGCATTTAATGCCTTGGTAACCGGACCGACGGGACGTTTGTCGCATATATCACAATCGGGCTCGTCGCTGACATCATCATCCACCAAGTCGAAGTTCAGAAATTCATATAGTTTCTCATCATCTTTTTTCTGAGAAACGAGGGGACTATCTGTATACGGTCAAAACCGAGTTTTGCCCTTCGTATGATTAATCGAGATTGGAACATGATAGTTCAAGTTTCATCATTGTAATATCGAGCCATAGTATGAAGAATATGCTATCGATCTCGGGATCCAAAAATCGATCAAGATCGAGATCGGCCAAGATCAAGATCGGCCAGGATCAATATCGAGCCAAGAAACAAAGAATCGTAAGCAAAAATCTGAAACAGGCCAATCCGATGCTAATTAATTCAATTCGGATTTGGATTGCAATATAGGAAATCCGAAATAGTAATCCAACACTTTCCCGATCCAACCGATGAACATTGAACAGGCTTATTTCATGCTTGTATACTAAATACTTTCTCCATTCTAATTTATGTGACATTATTTACCTTTTAATCTACTTAAAAAAAGAATGACCTTTTTTCGTATTTAAAAATAATTTAACTGTAAAAAATTTATTTTACCCTTTAATAATTTTATATCCATACAAATATCATGACATATTTAAAGCCTTTGGTTTCAAAAATTATTCTTTCTTAAATTCTGTATCTAGTCTATAATGAAACAGAATGAGTTAGTATTAGTTTATTGGTGCAATACTCTAATGTTATATCAATTATAGAGATTAATTAATTTTAAGGAATAAGGAGAAAGAGATGAACAAATTCGAGAATTTGTATCAATTTTAAGGAGTAAGAAGGATAAAGAAATGAACAGATACGAGAACTGTATTCAAAAGCCTTCCTATATGTATATATCATTCCTCCTCCATTCTCTTGATTTACGTTACAGTAAATGGACTCACGTATAATTTTAGAAAGGGCAAAGGTCCAAATATGTCCTTGTAATATATGAAATTGAGCACATTTGTCATTCGTTAATACTTTACCTCAAATATGCTCTTACCGTCACATAGTTGGTACATATATGCCCTTAGAGTTACACAGTTGGCCCATATATGCCCTTTTCGAAACGGAATTCACCCAAACTAATTAGCTCTTTCGTTAATTGTATTAAAGTGTATTACAAACATTATTTTCTTTTTATTAGTACTTTTTTCTTTACCTTTCTCTTTTCTTTCTTACTTTTTCTTTTCTTCTCTTTTTTTTTTTCCTTTTTCTTTCTCCCTTATCCGTTTCCTCTATTACTGATGTCTTCTCCATTTTCGTCACCAATTTCACTTGACAAAATTTATGAATTCCAATTACTAAGAAAATTCTCTCATAAGGTAATCAAGTTCCAATTTCACTAGCCCTTTAAATATACGAAATTAAGTTGTTCCAAAAATTATGGTTTAAACTTTAAAATAATAAAAACATCTCAACCTTTAACAATACTCAAAAGACCAAAATATTTAAACTATTTTCAGAAAGATAATTTAATGATTAAAAGCCTAGAGTTCAAGTTGTAGTGTTATAAATTTGAGTTGTTAGTCTTTTTTCATCTTTTTTCAGCTGGACATTTTCTATTTTTTTAATTAACTGTGTAAATTAGGGGTGTACATGGAACGAGTTGGTTCGGTTTTTATCAAAACCAAACTAAATCAATTATATCGGTTTGGATTGTTCGGTTTTGTTGGATTTTTTGAATTTTTTATTACATAAATATTATTTCAATCTTACTTTGTTAAATTTTTTAGAACTAAATATATGTTCGTAAAAATTAAAAAAAATTGAAAAACATATGATCTATTAAAATATTCTTATGCGAGAATTTTTTTAGTAATTGGAATTCATGAGTTTTGTCAAGTGAAATTGGTGACCAAAATAGAGAAGACATAAGTAATGGAGGAAATCGGATAAGGGAGAAAAAAAAGGAAAAAAAAAAGAGAAGAAAAGAAAAAATAAGAAAGAAAAGAGATAGGTAAAGAAAAAAAGTTCTAATAAAAAGGAAAGAGAGAATTTTCTTAGTAATTGGAATTCATGAATTTTGTCAAGTGAAATTGGTGACGAAAATGGAGAAGACATCAGTAATGGAGGAAACGGATAAGGGAGAAAGAAAAAGGAAAAAAAAAAAGAGAAGAAATGAAAAAAGAAGAAAGAAAGAGAAAGGTAAAGAAAAAAGTACTAATAAAAAGAAAATAGTGTTTGTAATACACTTTAATACAATTAACGAAAGAACTAATTAGTTTGGGTGGATTCTTTTTCGAAAAGGGCATATATGGGCCAACTGTGTAACTCTAAGGGCATATATGGACCAATTATGTGACAGTAAGGGCATATTTGAACTAAAGTATTAACGAAAGGTAAATGTGCTCAATTTGGTATAGGATAAGGGCATATTTGGACCTTTTCCGTTTTAGAAATAGTTGAATTTCAGCTGTTTAATCACGTGCATGTATGGTTTAGAAAAGATCGTACAAAATGATATTTTGATGCCTTGAAGACAAAATCGCACATACTAATATAATGAGTAAACTGGCACTCTATTTTTCACGTTTTGATTCTATTGCTTGTTATGGCGAAAACTTATGTTGTATATTTACTTTAGTAATAAAAAGTGGGTGTTCGTCCGTAGATTCGGTACGATTTTTTTGATATTACGGTTCAATATTTGATTTCTTAAATTGTTATACTAATATCATATTTAATTAAATTCAAGGTGTTTCAGTTTTTCTCCTTTCAATTTTAAATTCAATTTAAATTAATTTACAGTTTTTTACACGATAAGACTCTTAAAGAATAGTATTTATATTAATGTTACTATATATGGATTATTCCAATAATAGCAGGTTTTTTTATAAATGTAACATACTTAAATGAAATACAAGAATTTAATAGTAACTCATTCATTTCCTAATTGTTCCCGAAAACAAGGGATTATGTCTAAATTCTTGATATCTTATTTCTCTCTATCATTCATAAATAATAAGTATCACTTTTTTCATTTCAAAACCCTAGCAACCGCTCTAACATTGATTCTCCTTCTTCTCTATCGTACCCTAAACCTTCATAGTCACTTCTCCACCGTGAACCTCCATCTCTACACAACAATCATCTGACTGTTGCACTTCAACAACTCCGCCACACCCCTAAAAAGAGCACTTCTTAACCAATGTTGTGGTTGTCATGATAACGAAAAATTACATATATCATCAACATTAGGAATTATTAACTAGCATCCCTATTTTAATGGGACTGAGTGATTTTTCTTCTAGGTAATATAATTATTTAGTTGTCATGTATGTAAAATATCTATTGCTGCTAGGTCTTTGAAAACTTTTCTTAAATATTGGCTATTTATGCTTTTTCCCCAATTTATTCGGTTCGATAATTTCAATTTATTTGCTTTGACTAAAAAAATTGTAATTCTTTTTCATCTTTAAGATGCAAAAAAAATTGGGACAACACTAATAAATCAAAGAAAGTACCTTTTGGAACTATCAATTTTTTAGAGTGATTTAGAGGAAAGGCATTTTGTGATTATGCATGAATTTTTAGACTACCCTTAATTCAAAAATTGACATAGGAATTCGGAAAATAATGCAAAATAAATGTTCAAGTTGAACTAGCGATAATGACTCGAATTAGATCATATCTCTTACATTGAGAAAAAGGAAAATTATAGACAATTCAAAATTCAAATTAATTTCTCATCACCATAATATTCCATCTGAGATTGATCAAGCACTCACATAAGAATGTAACTAAAGATGTGTATTGTGTACGTTAGTATGCAATATCATTGATCTGATAGTTTTTCCTAAATACCAAGTACTAATGTTTTTTAAAATTTATACCACGTACAATATTTAATACCGAATACCAAATATTTAAATTTTCGGTTTCGGTTTGGTAATTTGGTATATACCACATTATGCACACCCTAGTATAGTCAAAATAGTGAATGACTGTTATACACCTATAACAAAATTTGACATTTAAATAATTTTTGGATATTATAGACAAAAATTATTCAAAAATTAATTTTTTTCTTTTTTAGTGTTACATATAAAAATAAAATAATTATTCAAATTTAAAATCGTAAAAAATTATGCATATTGTACTAATTAAATATTTGAGAAAATTAATATATTATTAATAAATTCATAACTAAAG